TTTCCCTTTACATTATTAGGAATCAATCCAGGAGCGCTCTCCAACTGAGCTACATCCCCAGCTTATTTATCATTATTATTAATCTTTTTTTTTTGACAGGTGTACAGAGTCTCACTGCATAGATCTGACTCATAGTGATCCTTCTGTTTACAGCCTCCCAAGAGCTGGGATTACAGGCGTACACCACAATGCCCAGTCTCAATATCTCAGTTCACCCCGGGGGCAGGGCTAACGCCTGGCCCCTGTCTGCCTAAGCAGGCACTTTAGTCTGCTGAGCTATTTGGCATGCCCATTATTATTAATCTTGAGACAGTGTTTCACTATTGTTGCCTTGGCAGGACTGAAAACTGATCCTGTTGCCTCAGCCTTCAAAAATGCTGGGATTACTGGTGCGGCCACCAGGCCCAGCCAGTTTATTTACTGTGACTGCATCTGTCAAGTGTCTCTTGTTTCCTAGTCCTGCTGCCCTTTTTTTATTTGTTTGTTTTGAGGTAGGGTTTTGTTGTATAGTTCAGGCTACCCCTGAACTAATCACATAGCCCAGGCTGGCCTCAAATGTGTAGCATTCCTTGTCTCAGCCCCCTGAATGCTGGGATTACAGGCATGTGCACCGTGCCTGGGTAGTCCTGCTGCTCTTTATGCTTATCCTGCATGGGAAAGAGACAAGAGGAAGGATGACTGCTTCTCCTCTCTGAATTTCTGAATTTGGTGCTATTTTTCCACTTATAGAACTTATATGAAAGTATCAAGAATGAACCATTTAAAATCCCAGAGGATGATGGGAACGACCTGACACACACATTCTTTAACCCGGACCGGGAAGGCTGGCTCCTGAAGCTGGGTAAGCCTGCTGTGTGTGTCCCGCCCTCAGCCCCCTGGCCCACCTGGCACCTCCCTGGTCTCCCTCTCACTACTTGTAGTGGAGGACCCTAAGCACAAGGCAGAAATGTTAAAAAAAAAAAAAAAAATGCAGTTGACTCAAAAGTCTGCTGTAAGCAGCAGCTTATCCCAGCACTAGTGGCTGCTTCCCTGAACAGTGGCCTTTCAAACCAAGCCACACACTCAGTGTCTACGGCAGAGACTTTACAACCCATCCCAGAAACTGCCGAGTTAGTGACCACCTAAATGCAGGACAGTTTTCTCTACAAGAAGCAAGTGCATTTACCTCCAAAGAACCTGTGTGCCTTTCTCTTGGTTTGGCGTGGCTGTGATTTTTGATGAGTGGTTTAAATGTGCCTTCTTGTTGTTTTCCTTCTGCCTGTGGCTCCCACCTTTCTGTTCTGTGACGGGCTGTCCCTGCTTGTCCTGCGTTAGGAGGTAGGTACCCAGTGGCTTCCTCCCCTCCCCAGCGGCTCATTCCTCTCTCGGTTTTTCTCCCCCACGTTGGTCTGTGTTAAGCTCTTATCTGTGGCTGACATTCATTTGATTCATTTGGCTTTGGACTTGCTGGGGAACAGTGTTTTGCACAGTGTGGTGTGTGTGACACCCACCACTAGTGACAGAGCAATAGAGACCAGTGCCAGGAATGCATGGGGATGCTGTGGGAGCAAATTAGACACCCAACTTTAGGGTTCTGCAGCACAGCAGGGGAGCTGGTAAGCAACGTGTCCCTGCAGAGTCCCAGTGCCCATATTAACTAAGCAGTGCATGTTTGCACCCCTAGAAGGATTCTGGGGACATCTCAAAGGCTTCCTTGCCAGGGACAAACAAATGTAATGGATTTTGTCCTTTATGGGCACATGTAGAAGTTTTTTGGGTTCAACACTAGGGGGATAGATTTTACTTCATTTTTTTATAGTAAAGCCCATGAGATCTGACTGTTTTTTTTCCAGGTACTTCTGAGAACAGAGTATTGCTGTGCATCATGTAAGGTCCATGGGAGAGAGTTCTGGAGATTTTTTAAAGAATTTTTTTTTTAATCAAGGGAAGATATAAGATGTAGCTTGATGACATCCATACAGGCACAGCTGCTGTGGCTGATGGGGTGGAGGCGCACCCACTGGGGCCTTTGACCTTGGGCCTTGCTCTTTGATGTTTCTCTGGCTGTGCTGAAATTTAGAAGGATTCTCAATCTTTCCCTAAAAGCCCAGTATTGTAGCTTTTAAGTCAGATGCCTGGGTGACCTGAGATACACAGATGACTTTTCATGTTGCTTCATGTTTGTGGTGCAAGAATAGGGACAGGATGAAGACTGCATCCAAAGATACCAGCCATTGTGTTTGGCTACAGTAAGGAGGTCCTTCATTGGACCCGACACCTCCCTTCTAGTCCTGTGTTGCCCAAGAGTGTCCCCTGGTTGGATGTAAGGTTTCCAGCCTCCATAGCAGCTCAGATGGTCTCTTCCACTCTGGATATATAAATTAGTGAATGAAAGGAAGACACTTTACATTTTATGATCTTTTTCCTGGCTGGGCAGGTAAACAGGCTACCAAAATGAGCATGCAGAGCACATAAGGGAGCTGAACATTTGCCTGGACGCAGCCAGATGCAGCCTGAGCTCAGTGGGCAGCTGATGGGGCCAGGTTGGATTGGAAAAGTGCTATCCCGTGGTATTGTCACAGGATGTGATGTGGTCTCTCTTGCCCTTGCAGCTTCTCTGTCCACACTCAGGAGTGAAGTGTGGCTCACGTCAGCCCCCGGTGTGACCCTGCACAGTGTGGGCAAATATCCCTCCCAGCACAGGGCATGGCACAGTCAGGCCCCAGGCCCCAGGCCCCAACTGAAAGTGTGCAGGATGGGTGAGACTCAGTCATGTTCTCAGGTGGGAATGTAGCTGCCTGAGTTGCATTCTCCTGTGATTATAGAGCATGGGCTCTTTGATGGTGGCATGTGTTACGGATACAGGTGCACAGCAAGGCACACAGGCCTGGCTTACTGTTGTTGAGAAATTTAGGACATTGGGTTTGAGATTCAGCTCTGTCAAAAACTTAGGATGTGCTCGATGTGGTTGCACATGCGTCTGATCCCAGCACTTGAGAGGCTGAGACAGTGGGATCCTTGTGAGTTCAATGTCAGCCTGGACTATATAACTTAAGTTTGAGGGCAGTCTTAACTACATAGCAAGACCTTCTTTCAAAACAAAGAAACATACAGACAAGGAACTTAGTATAAGGGCAGAGCTGAAGTGTCATAGAAGAAAAGGTGTGTGTGTGTACAAATGCATGTGTCAGTCATGTGCGCACACATACCTGGTAACAGCAATAAAATTGGTTTCTATACAGAGTGGTGCTTATCCTGTTTAGGGAAGCCAGGCTGTTGTCTGCAAGTACTATGGTATGATTCAAGCAGAACCTTCCTGCTCCTCACAGAAGAACCTGCTGTGGCTCTGAGACCATCACCCTGCCCCTGCTAGGCTGGCCTCTGAGCTCAAGGAACCTGCCCAGATGACACACCTCCGTTTTGGTGCCTGTAGCCCCACCTAGGAGGGTCCCAAGACAGGGCAGATCTACCTCCATAGCAGCTGGGTGATTGTGTGCCTTGACAGGAGCATACTAGAGGGGCACGTGCACTGAGCAGAGTACCCTGGGCAGTTCCCAGCACAGCTCTGGGGACCTGCTTCTGGTGGATGTGGAGGTTGAGAGCTCCGTAGGCTTCAGGGAGGCCCAGCAGCCATGGAAGGAGCCCCTGGGCGGCTGAGACTTTAAGGCCTCCATGATGAGCACAGTGATCAAAGGTTCTCAGAAGATGTCTCCAGCTGTGTTGGAAGTTAGTAGCCCACATAAGTTGCTGGTACAGCTGAGATGGGCCTACTCTTGAGTCTCTGCAGGAGGCAAAGTCCACAGAGGCTGGTACAGGGTGCTATGGACAGTAGAGGGATCTTCAGCTGATTCTGTCTTTGTGGCAGGGCATGAGGTGCCTGAGAAGAACCAGCTTGGTCCTCCTTTTGTGATC